GCAATACTTTTATGTAGATCGGCCCAAAATTGAGTTGGACTATCGGCCCACCGGGACAAGTCCCGGTATCCCGATAGGCCAATCCGCCCCTGAATATTTTTAAAGCTGTAAGTCAACGACCCGATACCCTACCTACAATGATTTATTCTATATTTGCGGTATGTGACTAAACAAATGATAGATCTTACTGAATATATCTAAAGTGAGCCAGTGACTCAAAATTTATTTTCAAAATACGTACATAGAAACGATAATTTTGATCACACGAAAAGGTAGATCATCGTATAATAAAATATAACTTGTTTTTAAACTTACGAAAAGTTAAACAATAATGCAGAACTATCTTAATGCACGCCATTCATTTAACAATATTCTATTTTCTTTTTGAATACCATATTTAAATATTTCAAGTTATAAAACATTTGTATTGATGGTTTTAAATTAGAAAGAGATCAACACCATCACTTCAGGCTAACAAAAGTTCACGGACTCACAACACTAAATTTCGGAATTCGGTTTCCCATGATGGAAAGAGCGCAGATGGCTTACTATGTAACTTTGCGCTAAAAACAAACAAGCCTAATTCTACGCACAAGGCCTAATTACGTACGATCGTTGACTGCACAAGCACTCCGATGCAGAAATTGTGCTGGTATGGCTTTCACATGAAACACGTGACCTGTTTATACCTAGTAATATTCTTCTAAACCACCATCATTATACAGGCATAATTTCTGTTACAACGTAAAGGACCATATGTTTAACAAGTACTATACAATTACTCATGTAGTAGCCGAATTATGATTACATACCTACTAATTATTGGCTAATACATTTTAAAAGTTATTACGGCAGCATAGAAGAGGGAGTGAGAATGCAGGAAAACAAAGTATTGTACGATGTAGCTAGGAGAACCAAAAGATGGAAAATCATTATGATAGTACATAGCTAGAAGGCCACTGGTAACATCAGTAAAGTTTGTTTGTTTATTTGTTTTTAATTTCGCGCAAAGCTACACGAGGGCTAGCCGTCCCTAATTTAGCAGTGTAAGACTAGAGGGAAGGCAGCTAGTCATCACCACCCACCGCCAACTCTTGGGCTACTCTTTTACCAACGAATAATGGGATTGACCGTCACATTATAACGTCCCACGGCTGAAAGGGCGAGTATGTTTTGTGGGACAGGGATTCGAACCTACAGATTGCGAATTGAGCGTCCTAACCACCTGGCCATGCCGGGCCTAACATCAGTAAAGGAATTTTCTTCTACCTACTGTAAAGAAACCGGCCTCCACATGAGGGGTCAGCGCAACCCCTTTGATTGTCACTTAATGATAAAGATGGTTTACCTTTTAATAAAATTTTAAACTTATCTAAGATAGCGAGGATTACTTATCCTTTTTTGTATTGTATTTTACACTATACTTTATAATATATACTAGCAATTACTGCCACCCTACTCCATAGTATACCCTAACCTCACATTTCATAGCTAACTGAAATAAATACATTTTGTCGGAATCAAAGAGGCAGAAAAGTGCAGTTGAGGCAATCAAACGTCAGTACATTCCTTTGTGAGCCAATCAAGATTAAGATCATTCACGAAATGAATTCGTGGCGTATTCATAGGATAATTATTGGTAAAAATCAGTCAGATTAACAACTTCTAATATATAGAAAAGCCACTGGGCTTTGGTAGGCCCTCATTAGCGGACTTGCAACGCTAGAAATTGGTTTTCGACATCCGTGGTGGGCAGAACACAAATAGCCCATTGCGTAGCTTTGTACTTAACTTCAAACAAACAAAAGCGTTTTGGTAACACTACGTTCCAACAATAGCTTTTATGTCATGTTGTTTGGCAACAAAAGTATAACCTAATATTGTTGTTAGTCAATGTAATGAAAGTATAAAATGAAATGTATAGACAACAAAACTGGAAAATATTTATTGATTTCTTAATTTAGAGTCTCCGTTGATTAAAGAGGTTTTATTATTATTAAAAATGTTGGTGGTTTAACAGAAAATAGCTTAATTCAGAAACAATTTATGTTTAAAATTGAAACGATATTTTTACTTTTATGACAGATTTTATATACTTGGCTCTAGGATAGGTGATCCTACACAACGTCTTTACTTTAGACTTATTATAAGGTTTCACGGCACCCCCTTGCACCACCATCACTAAAATTGTAATGTGCAGACAGCAATCGAACTATTCTGTCTGGATAAATGCATTTTGGCTTTTATTACTTCTCCTGTTTCGAGAAAGCAGGAGAAATCATGCGTAGTGTGACACACACACACTTGGTTTTATATAGATTAGATTAATTTGTTGAACATCAGTATGTAAGGATGAAATAATAAATATTAATTTTCTCTAATTTTAAAATTGATTGACCCGCCAGTAACTTTGTGAAAAATTTAGCAAGCAAACAGACAAATAATATGAAAATGTATTATTTCACATTAAATAGCAAATGTTTAACTGGACTGTTTGTTTTTTATTCCTCACAGTCTTCTTTTTTTCTTAATAAAAGAGTGTTACAATAAAAAAAAAAGAGAGAGACTAAGTAAAGAACTCGATTGAAAGCATAACAGTATGAAATATTTTAAAGCAATTTGTAATGGATTATTTTGCTTTTATAAGAATTTTCGTAATGCATAATTAACCCATAAACGTTTAAAAACATTATACAAATTATCGTAGCTAGAGTCTCCCTTTTGGTCAGCGGTAAGTTTAGGGAGTTAGAATGCTAAAATCCAAGGTTCGGTTCTCCGCGATGGAGAGAGCGCGGATTATAGCCCATTGCGCAGCTTTGTGTTTAATAAAAACCACCAACATGAACAAATGAATAATTAGTGAAACTACAATACGGCGACAGTCACTCCGTCTGTACTGGGTATGCAATTTGTGCAATTCTGTGAGAATGTTTTTTTTAGGGGTCGGATAGGGTAGCGGTATGCAAACGTTTTAATGTTAGATGTTACAATCCAAACCCAAGAAACAGCGACTTTTCGTTCAAAAGGTAGGTAAGTTCAGAAATTTATTATACTTCTGTAAAAATTAAAGGGTCGGTATATAATTAAAACTGAATCAGAATAAATAGAAAATAAAGCTTAGCACTATGAAAAAATATAGTCTCTAACTTACAGGTTATTGGTATTTTGTTCCTGTGACAAAAATTTTCCGAATAATTTTTTTGAATAAATAATAACTATAATGAAACACTGATTGATTAATTTGGTGATTATCTTAAGCAGTGTTGTTTGTTTCTAAGTGATATGTGTGAATTTTGTTGTACATTAGATATCTTTATTTTCAGATCTTCGAAATAAACAATTAAATAGATACGGTGATATCGACGTTTTTATACTACTCCTGATTATTTCATTATTTATATCGTCAACTAGTCATAATGTGAGAAATTGTAAAGGGTTTAGAATAATTCTAGACATATATCGTAATTAATTCAAACATTTCTTTGATGTCAACGCTTTCTGAAATAGTGAGACTTGCAAAATATTTGAATTTTAATAATTCTATCCAGATAATGTGATATAGACTTGCCTTGAGCTCGTTTCTAACGTCCTAGGAGGCAACATTCGATTTATTTTTCTGTAAATTCATTTGTAAAAAAAAGAAAAAAATTGCGTGCAAACAAATAAATAGTATTATGTAAATTTTAACTGCATATTGTAAAATAAATTGAATTTATCTTAGAATATATTCATAATTACGTTAATAAATCAATGTAACTGAGTTTGTATTCAATTGCAATATAATTAAAAAGTAAGATTACTCTGACTATACAACGAGTAAGATAGCTGAGGTGTGGTTTGCATTTACGCGCATGCTGTGCTACTACTATTAAGCAGAGCTGAAAACGTTATTGGGTTTTGGACCAATGAGGGCTTCTCAGAAGATCAGGGAGCCGCCATTTCATACTTCACCACACCCATGAAGTAGACGAGATTTGTAGGGTCGTGCGTATTGCTTGTGTACGGTGGGTTTGAAGGGTTCGTGTAAACGGACCCTAGTACAAGGAAAAATCAAGCTGGAACTGATGGAATTAGAGAATATCGTTGCTAACACCGTATATCTGAAAGCTAGAGAAGGTAAGTATTTATATAAATTTTACACATATAAGTAGAAAGTGTGATAATCTTACTAACTAGCATAGCACCACTGATTGCAAAGTTTAACTTTATATCCGCTGTGTGTCGCACCGTATGATTAAATGTCACCGGCAGTCGTTTCTAGTTGGGCTTAAGTTATTTTTTAGGCTTAACTTTGTAGGTCACATTTCCCTGAGTATATTGACGTTACCCTAGTTAATCGTTCATAGTTTAATTTTTAGCTTTTTTTTAATGGACCATATGCTATCAGTAGAAATTCACGCATCAGATATTTATAAATAATTGCTCAGGAACACAAATCAAAATATTTTTTAATGTGTATCTAGGAGCTTAATCTTTTAACTGTTTTCGCTAAATTTCAGTTTTTGTGTATCAAGTATTGTTTACTAACGAAGTGATTTAATGAAAGTGTATACTCAGTTATTGATAACCAATGCTTTGTTAAAAGTCTTTACTAAAGTGTTTGTTAATACGAGGTTGTTGTATAAATATGGCCTTTTCACAACATTTCAGTAATGTGCAGTATAACTATAAGTATAAATATCACCGATTTTCATTTGTTAATAAAACTGTAGTTTTCAAGTTATCAGCTGTTTCATGTCAGTTGAACTTTCCAAATTAAATGTATTTGAAACTTAGAAATAAACATGACCTATACTTTTCATTGAATTGATTGCTGGATGTTGGGTTTTCTGTAAGTATAACAAAAGGCGATTGCCCATGCATATGGTGATAACTGTAACTCACCAACTTTTAAATAAATACGCTTTATTACTTAATGTTAAAACTTAACGTGTAATTCTGCCACATTCAATAAATGATACAGTAGACATTTTATGAGTTTTAATTTTTAACTGTTAATAGCAATTCAACAATGTGGACCTCTCCAGTTAGAATTTTGTGAACTCTTGTAATACACATTCTTGTTGGATGTTGGAACATACTTCAGATATATATATTCTTGTCTTACATTCTTTTCATAGTAACTAAAATTATGTTAGCATTTGTTAAACGATAAAATTTAAGTCGGAAAAACAGTCAAGTGAACAACCCACCGTACTGCTTAATCCTAGAAGTGGTTAAGTTTAATTTGGCTGGTGTAAGCAAGTTAGAATACTTTCATGTTCTCCATGGATGAGATTCCATTCCATCCTCCAGTTAGAATGGTATAAAAAGTCAGAAATTTTAGGGTTACTAATAGATGTAGTGTTGACTAGCTGTGGTTGCAGCTGTGATTTACCATATTCCCAGGTTGTTCAGTCAACATTATCTCCTTTTGTTTTAACATTTGATAAACACTATCCAGTCCTGAAGAAATGAATGAAATATTAAACACATTTGTCTCTGCTGACACATCTGATTTCTGCATTCCTTTTTGGAAATAACCACCGGTTTTCTGTTCTATAAATAAGTGGATATGTTCCGGGCGTGTAGTAAGGTGTTAATTATGTATACGAACTAGTTTGGGGTTTCGATTGTCACATCTAAAGTTTTATAGTCACTTCATAAAGAGCAATAAAGAATAGATAAAAACTTTAAGAGTTACATTTCGCTGTTACTGCTCATAACGTGGAAGGATAGCTTGGTGTTTATTGGAAACTATTATTTAGTCTATAAAAAAAAAAATCATGTTAATATTCAGAATATATTTATAAATTTTATTATAGCTAGCAAGAATTTGTAGGTGAGCTAGCATATCCAAAATATCAAACTTAGTAAAACTTTGATACAGAGAGCTACAAATCAAAGTTTTAAACTGTAAGAACAAATTTAAATTTAAAGTGGTGTGTAAAAGAGTGTGTGTGTGTGTGTGAGGGGGGGGTTATATATAGAAATACATGCGAAGCTAGTGTGAATATGTTGATAAATTCTCTAGCCTATTTTTTAAAATTATTTAACCAGGGGTGCAGTGGTGCTAAATCACTCTGGAGCTACATATTGGCATCTGAAATTTAGAAATTAAATTTGAATACGAGTTCTTACTATATGTGACAGTTTTATATAACTCGTCTTATGTAAGTTTATATAATGGATGCTAATAATCTATAAATATTTTGAAATGCAGCATTTTAAGTTTGACATAAGTTGCAGTATTAATCTTTATTAGTAGTCCATTTGATGTGAGAAGTTATTGTATAAATCACACAATATCTCCAGAATGCTGATTCTTTCATATTGGGCTAAAATTTATGTAAAAATGAAATATTTTGGATATTTTTGTTAAAGTGTAGGAAGATCTTGATTAAAGTTCTTGCAAAATATAAAAAAAAAAAGTTATTGCTATCCTTCTCTAAGTCTGTTTAATAAAGACAATTTTTTGTGGCACTGTAAACTGGTTCGGCACTGGATATATATAATGCTCGCTGTGTTTATTTCTGCAAGATATACATAAAAACTGATACTAAGTAGTATGTAAACTTACCGCTGTTTGCAAGGGAGATATTCTAACCCAGGGTTTCTCAAAATGGAAGCTGCCAACATTTGGGGGACTGCAGGGGAGTTGTAGGAAATATACAATATTTGGTATCTATAGATTTGTTGGGGGGGGGGGGGCTCTGTCAGGATGTGGAATGTTCTAGGGGCTTTTTGTTGAGAAAGTTTGGGAACCTTTGTTCTAAATAACGAAGTTACCTGGCTTTGATTGTTCCCAGTTTTGGGTTTCTGTTCATTGGTTTATTACAATATAACTGACACGTGTATTAAGCTGTGTCATATATCAGGGGGGTTTGTCGTTTTGGTTGAAAGTGGTGAATTAAATTTACTGTAGAAATTTGTAATGGTGATGGCAAGAGTGGTGTATGGTTAAAAAAAAAAATCGCGTGAAAACTTTCTAAAATAATTTAATGTAAGAAGGTTAACTTTATATGTTTTTCATCCAGTTGCTTACTTGCCAGGATTTTCTAAAGAAATGTTAACCTATCTGACTGTTGAAATACAAATTAACTCCAAGTTAATTCTTGTAAACTGTGCTCCAAAACCACGTGCACAACATGGAGCTCTTTAGGGTTAACCATATCTTTCGGTGATGAGAATTGAAAAAAAGTGAAATATGCTACAGGGATCTCCAGTAATTAAAGGGTTAATACCTCTAATACTGATTTCGACTTATCTTGTCTCACTACTATTGGAATTCTTGTTCCTATACCAAAAACTCATCAGTAACAACGTTTCGACGTTATTCACGTCATTCTAAGGATGAATGACGTCAAAACATGTAGAGTGCCTTTTTGAGACCAGTGATTGGTTTTTAAATAAAGTTTTAATATTATACAATGTTGATTTTAATATATTTTCAATATTTATACAAGTTTCTTTGAATTTTATCCATTATTAAGAGCTCTTTAAGATCTTGTGTAAGTATACTAGCAAGGATTTTGTTACAAATTGTACCTAAAATATAAGTAAATGCTCTCTTACCTTTTGTTGTTGAAACTGATAATTTAAAATATAAACGTATATTATCATGAGTCTGCTTTACGTCACATTTAAGATAGAAAGGAATAATGATCCAAGAATATCTATTTTTTTTGCCTGTTGGTTTGTTTTTATTCCAGGAAAGTTTTTGAGTTTCAGTAGTGCTGCTGACTTCATGCTATTAAATGTTGTTTGTGGGATGGTGCATGGGGAAAATAGGGCTGACGAGTGACGAGGCCCAGGAACTGAGATAGGGCAACGGGATGTTCGTGCATTCATAAGCTCTATTTTCTTCATCTCACTGTTCAAAGTATAATTTTTATATCCTCAAAAATGATAAAATTGCTATTGAGAAAACTGTTGTGCCTAACATTTTACTATTGTCTCAATTATTAGGTTTAGCATCATAAATTCGTTTTCGTTTCACTTCCTGGTTACAATCTGAACAACAAGTTTGATTGTTTTTTATGAAGATCATAGCTAGTGATATTGATTTTTTTTTGTTGTGGTCAAAACCTGCACTTTTTTTTTTAATTATTCATTTCCTAACTGTTGAAACATTGTGTGAAATAACTTGATTTTTTGTTAATTTTCTTTTTGAACAAATGAGGTTTATATCTTAAGTGATCATTTTCAAGAAGGTGTCAAGATTTATTAGTCTGATAGCAGTGAATGAAGTTACGTGAAAGTATGAAAGTTTTTTTTTTCGTTTTTTTTTACCCTTTGGCATTTAATAACTTGTATCATAGAAATCCGAGCTTTGCTAAAACTACTTTTAATTGCAGTACCAAAATAAATTTACTATAGTTCAAACATGGAACTGGTTGGTCTTGTTTTTGGTTAGTAATTCTTGCAAGGTCGTTTGACTGGACAAGAAGAAGGTCAAGGTCAAGTAAGCTGGAAAGCTACTGTTAGATGATTATAAAGATCTGTTTAACCTTGGGTACGCGATGACCTCTGTTCACGTATTTTCTGTCTAATATTTTAAACACGTGCTTGTGTGCTAGTAAACTCTCTAATCTCTTATCATTTAAAGGTCCACTTGTTTAATCGATTGCTTACAAAAAGGTATCTGTACAACCTGACCTTAATTTGGGAGTGATATACCAGAGGGAAGGCAACTAGTCAACGGCACCAACCTCCAACATTTGGGCTGCTCTAGTTGAATAGTGGGATTTAACTGTCACTCTTATAACGCACCCCGGTTCCAAACATCGATCCTAAGATTCACAGTCTCGTGTGCTAAACAATAGGCCACGCCGACTCGCGTGTCTATGTTTTTTGAAGATAAAATAGTAAAATTAGTCGGTATGTATTGGCTAATGTTCGATTCCCAAATTGAGGAACCAGACCTGTCTGAGCTGTTTAATTCAAACATGTTGAATGTTAGATTTTCTATAATCTGACGAATCTCGTATTACTTATAGCATTGGTTGGTCTATACCTTTAACATCTTGATACAAAGCCCAACAGGTGCTTACAAATCGACAGTTAGGCCTAAAGTTTAAATACACTCTGCCCACAGTGGGTATTAACAATCGATTTTTAGCTTTATAAGCCCTCAG